CGAGACAAAACTCAGATGAGGCCTTTAATCAAATTAGAATATGTTAATATGTTGTCATGAGATAAACTGACCTTCATTCATGACAGAGGAAACTAAATACAAATACAAATCAAGCGTGGACTCACATGTTTGACAATTTGTTACAGATATTTTAAATTGGTTGGAATTCTTGGCCTCTGCTGACCCTGCACACCTGCAGCTTTCCAACTAACTGATACTGTACCAGCTGGCCTGAATGGAAATGTTTCCTGTGTTTACCACATTCACACAGACACACACACACACACACACACACACACACACACACACACACACTAATAGATGTAGATGTGTAAACCATGTTTGCATGCACCGTGTCAAACCCAGCTATGCAATTTTACAATGGAAATGTTTGTTTTTCCAAATTGCAAGCCGGTGCTGGCAATCCACAGTTCCCACTGTATGATTATCTTATTGAGTGACATACTTTCCTTAAGGGCAGCAGCAGTGGCAATTAGAGACTATCTGCATGTCCCCCCAAAGTGTAGATGCTAAGCCGGGTTGAATGTTGCGCTATGTGTCACTATTGTTAACCGGTGAAATGTGAAACTTGATTCAAACTGATGGGAAGCGGTGTAAAGTTACAATAAAGCGCCACCGGATTTTTCCGCCCTGAAAATGTCCAATCACTCAAACCAACACTCTGCACTAACAGAGGACAGCTGATGCCCTCCTGCTCCCTAATGGTCCTGCATTGACCCTCCACTCAGCACAGGGGCGAGGCGTTCCTGTGAGATGCCCCAGAGACCCGCTGTCAAAAACAACCGTGGAGCGTTCTCACACTGAAACCCAGTATTCCCAAGGAAAGGCCTTTGAGAGGGGGGGATCGTTTCCTCAACAACTGCACCACTTTGCTGTGTAGCTCCTTAGGAAACTGGGTTCCTGCAGTTCCTGAACAGGGGCCCCCACTCTCCCTTATTTTTATCCAGCACAGGCTACTGGGGGGAAACAAACAGAGCTGCTCAATGGAGCTCCTCATGTATCAATTACCTGAAATATCAAAAAAGCGCATGAGAGGGCGATTGACTTGTTTGTATGACTTCAGTAGTTACAAACATTCCAGGAAAAAGTCAGAGATCTGCAACGAGTGAGAAAAAGCTTATTCACCCCAGGGGATGTGTGAGGGAAACGGGGTCATTTGTCGCCTAAATAACTCATCGCTATCACAAATCATTGCCCAGGAAATCCAACTCTGTGCTGCACAATACAGAGAGACGATCATGAGCAAATAATAAATCTTGTACAGTGTTTGAGGTGAGAGAGAGTTCAGCTGAGCAAAAAGCTTTGTTGTCTCTGTGCATTTAAAGGAGCAGTTGGGGTTAAGTTACTTGAGATTCATTCCGAGATTTAAATCAGTCTTTCTTTTTGGACAGAAAAAAACCAACAGGGGTTCATAACTCATCATTTTGTTTGGCTTCATTTGGACAGAGACCTGAATATTTTTGTCTTATCGTGTCACCATCAGCGGCAGGATTGTCCAGAGACAATAGCTGAGAGCTAACAAACAGCGACTCCTGACAGGATTTGAAAGGCCGACACATTGGGATTCTACAGGCTGCGTGAGGCAGGGGGAGCTGCCTTTGTCATGATAACTACGACTGAACTCTTGACATGCACAGAGGACAGAGGGTGTTAATGGAAAACACTGATTTGCCAAAGTGCTGTCGAGGGAGAGGGGGAGAATTTAAACAGATCTACAGGCGTATGAAAAATAAGAATTAGTTTGAAGGGATAGTTCACCAAAAAAATGAAAATTCACTCAATATCTACTCACCACTATCGATGGAGGGGTGGGTGAAGTGTTTGAGTCCACAAAACACTTCTGGAGTTTCAGGGTTAAACAGCATTGCAGGCGAAACCAATACAACTGACTTTCTTCAAACATTAAAAAAAAAAACAAGAATGCCTCCATAATGCTCCTGGTGTCACCCAAGTGTCCATAAGCCCCGACATTGAAATTCTACTCGAAACTGCTTCATTTATACCATTATGTTTTTTATGTTTTTACGTTTGAAGATGTGGTCACCGTTGTATTGGATTTGACTGCAACGCTGTTTACCCCTGAAACTCCAAAAATGTTTTTTGGACTCAAACACTTCACCCACACCTCCATCAGCACAGTGGTGATTAGATAATGAATGAATATTCATTTTTTGTTGAACTATCCCTTTAAGTCACAACGATACCAGAGTAACGTCATACAACTTCTGCACTTGCTCCATATCCGCGCCCAAAGACTTCAGAGGTCTGATTTACACAAAAAGCAAGGATCAGTGAAGTGGGTGTAAATGGAAACGTGATCAGTTACCAAACCAAACTCCCTTTTTGCTAACCCCGTCTGCCCCCACTTCTAGAAACCCTGACCCGTTTTTGAATCAGCCTGATTGTCAGCAGATTGGCCTGTGAGTGCAGCAGCTCTTTGATAGCAGGGCGGGAACAGGGGGGGGGGTGGTGGTAAAGACGAGGGGCAGGAAGGCTGCCACAAAAGCCCTCTGTCGCAGCCTCGGAGTGGGGTTACCTGCCCTGCTCTTTGCGGTGGGGTCTAATTACACACATCACATGTGCATGCATAAGTATAAACGTGCACATCCAAGTGCAAAACCTCACACACACATTCACCCGCACGCACACAGCTGCTGCGTGAGGGATGAGGAGCATGCATGTGGTTCCTCGGGGGACAAGTGAGGTTTGTTTGTCAAGTATTCAGAGCACGATACCAGGACAAAAGCAGCCACATAACCAAAGTACTGGGTGACAGATCGTCATTGTTCTCTGGGAAGTGACATAGACAAGCTGCTGGAAACAGACAGAGATGTTTCCTGCTTAGAAAACGTGAAGAAGGTCTCAGCCTGGATGGGAATATATTCTGCCATCACTTTCACAGCTGCAGATTATTTGTGAAGCCCAGTGTGACATTAAACCAGTGGGTTTAAATGAAATCAAGATTAATCACTGCAACAACAAAAAAGGTTCAAGATCTCAGTCAATAAAAGTCTCTAAGAATTAAATCCTGACGCAAATGTTTAGCAGTGACGGAACTTGGCATCTGTGACGGTTTACTCAACAACATGGGCGGAAATCTACGACAGAAGAAGTGAGTGTTGGGAGTGGAAGGGAACCCAGCTTTGACGGGAAGTCAGAAAAACGCAGTGGCTCAAAAATAATAAAAACGACACCTCAAAGAACAAAAGCTTCAAAGGTCAATCACCTACAAACCTGACACTCCCTGATCCTCGGACAAACAACGTTCAATGACAACATGCTACATAATTAATATTCCTCGCCTGAACTACATCTGGTCACACCCGTGATATTCTGTTTTCCAGCCGCCATTGCAGGGATACTATTCCTGATAAATGGTGTGAAGTAACTCTCGCCCTCTGATCTCAGCTTCATCGTCCTGGGAACTTTGCTTCAAGGGCCACTTGACTGATTTCTAACCTCATCTGTTTTAATGCTTGTCACAAAGTGAAATGTTTCCGTGCTGCTCTCACCCTGCAGTCCTGCACCTGATGGTACAGTCACAGGCCGGTAAGGAAAAAGAAAGGTTTTTGTGTCAGGTCTATTTCTCTTAAAAAATAATTGCTCCAGCATATAGAGCATTTGAAGCCTGTTGAAAGTATAATAGAGTCGATCGCCTCATATATCTGAGTCACAGATTTTAGAAATACTGAACCCAAGACTCTCATGTTATCCCCCAGACTATAGCTGCTTTCAATTTTACCATAACGTATCTAATTATGTGCATTCATTTTTTTCCATGACACCTCCTGGACTCTTTACTCCAAATGCATTTTAGTTCTCAATGTGAAGGCCTCCATGCCTCAACTCTGCCAACATTAAAATTCTCTTTCAGAGATGATGAATACTTTACTCTACTTATACGTACTTATTGGTCAAAGGGTAGTAGGTTTTAAATAGCCTATATTCCAATGGAGTCTACATTTTTCACTCACTTTTCAGTAGGTGCACAGCTTTGCAGCTAAACACACTTTCAATAAGTTTCAAGACAGTTTAAAATGGTGGATGTGTTAAACTGCGAGTTGCTGTCCGAAGCGGTGTCAACCGATAAATTACCATCTATGACAATTTTTAGATTTGAACAAGTGGATTTAGTAAAGCACTCGCCTACTAGTTGATACTTAAAACATGACCATTCAACATAGAAATGGATTTACAATGAGTTGGTTCAATCCTTTACAACAACTGCAACTTCGAACAACTTTGCACACTCTCCTGTTCATATAGTTTGTCATCCATTGTATGTAGTCTTTTGTCCATAGGCTTATTCGTGGTCCTATTATATTTAGTACTTTACTGTGTATCTTATCTTATTGCTACTCTGCTCTCTGTGCAATGTCTTTGACATGCTGCAGTAACATAATCATTTCCCAATTAGGGATCAATAAATTACATTTATCTTTTTTGGCAAGTTCTCAGTTTTCTGTCTCACTGGGACATGGAGGGAACGAGGACATAGTTTACATCGGTAGCACTTGAGCTTTCCCCACTATGACAAGTCAAAGTGTCTACTGTGAGAGAAACAAATACTGTCTCCTGGTAAATCTCACTGGAAGAAGAAAAGGTAAAAGGGGAACAGTTTATTTCAGTCAATGACCAGTGTCCTATGGCTAATGAGTCTGCTGCCACCTGCTGGTGAGCAGTGCAGCATACCACAGCTGGATATGAATTGTCTCCTCAGAAATTCACATCAGGGAGAAAATAGGTGTAAATTGAATGGTTGTTAGGTGGATCAGGGCATTGAGCTGGCTCATGTCACACTGACAGGACTTACTGGAACAATCAAATAGAGCAAAGTCATTAACGTCAAGAGACACGTTTTTGCTGTGAAAGTTCATAATGTCTAGAAAGGGAGAATAATCTACCAGGTCTGAGCAATCACTCAGTTAATTATTAACATTAAATCGTACACAGGCGGTGGAATAAACGCAGACACAGTATAGTGTTAAAATGAACCACTTTACTCTTCCACAAGACATCCATTGTGTACATCTTCAATAGAAAAATAAAACCGCCTGCTCTGGAGCACATCTGAATATTAGTGTGGCTCATCTCTACAACAATCCAAACCAACACAAACATTTCAGAGATGGATTTCAAAATGTTCACGTCTCCGCAGCAGAATGCACATTCATTGAGCTTATATATTTTTTGGCTCGCATGTAGTTTTCCTTTGTCAGAAAACGAGACGGATGCTAGTCACAGTAAAACATGAAGCACTGTGAGTGGCAGCGCAGCAGTGGATGGATACAGTCAGGAGGTGCTGACAGCAAAAATGCCCAAGAGAGACAGGAACCATGCATAGCTGTGTTTAAACAATCAAGAAACAGCAGAAACCAGTTAAATCAGCCAAGAAGAACAACTGCAAACTGAATGTGTTTGGTCAACACAGTTGTGGTTAAACAGCAGATGAGGAGGAATTACAAAAGTAAATTCTCTCTTTCGTCAGAGTCCCTTCCCGCCCCTTTCCTTTCAAAATTAGTTTATTTTAAATATATCTTTTAATGAATTCTCTCGCACATAAATAGCATCCTTATTGCTCATTAGAAAAAAAATCTCTGAGAAGTAGAACTCACACATACTGGCATTTAAATCTACAATGTGGCATTTTATTGGCCATAACAAAGCGAAAGCAAAAGAAAGCGACCAAACTTAACTTTAACTATGAAAATAAGCCTTTCAAAGCTTTGACATTGTTAAAATCATTCAAGTTAAGAAAAGCAACTCATCACAAACAGAAACTTCAGTACACAGAAACGGTGGTCAAATTAACACGTGGGAACTAATCAATTAATTTATACATGTATTTGGGAAACAATAGGACCAAATTAACATCTTATGCATGTTTAGTTATTATTTACAATTCTTAAGATAATCAGTGTTACAGGTTTGCTTCATTCATTTCAAACTTGTGCGTCATTCATCAGCGCCGTTGGTTTGAGACATCTGAATTTGTTTGCCGAAGACTTCCTCCAAAGACTCCTCGACATTCTTATCCTGAGAGAGAAAGAAAAAGCAAATCGGTGAACGTGATCTTACCTCTTAGAAGAAGAAACAGATTAGGAGCAGTTTAGTGCTTTTTAAAATGGTGCACCTTGTTCATCACTACCAGCAGCCCTTTGACGGTGGACATCAAGGTGTTGCACGTCTTGCTTATCTGGCTGTGGTAGGTGGTCTTCTGCTCCTCCTCGGCCTTCAGATTCTGCTCAGTTTGGCTCAGAGTGGTTTTCACCTCCTCCAGTTCCCTGGATAAAGCTTTGTTAGCTTGTTCCAACTGTGCTTTAACCTTCGCATCTTCATCTGGAAGGAAACACAACACAAGTAAGAGGCCGAGTTACACCGAGGCATGAGAACAAGTAGACACAGTGGACGTCAAGAGGAAAAGACACAAAGTATATTGGATTTTCAGTCTCTGTCTTTTTGCTTTGTTGAACAAGCTTGATAAATTATGCATGTCCAATACCATCACTTTCACTTATGTGCATTGAACAGTGTCAAGTGTCTGCGAACTACTAACATCGATCACAATGAATTCACGCAGACAATGTTGATGCTTCATGTATTAAAACCTGCCTGATATGATTTAATAACTTGTAATAAAACAAAAGGATTTGGACGCAGAACATCTGAACTTGGCGTTTATCATCATTAACCAGGTGCATTGACCAGAAAAATAATCACTGTACCACACAACACAGATTGTATTAACTCCTGCACATATATTGTTGTGTCAGCCATCTTTGTTTATTGTGTTTATTGTCAGATTATTGCGTTAATGGGTGAAGCCAGGACACATTTCCTTCACATTAAAAACCAATACTGCAGGATCCCGTTTTAGTTTTCTGTATGTGGCGGTTGGTGTGAATGTTCCAGTCCATGTCTCAACAGGAATCGCAGAGAGAAGAAACCTGAACGAGCAGAGACTGGGTGTTTCTGTAGCAAAGCTCAAATTGAGCCAGATCACTGTCCTGGTGGACTACTGACACAGAGTGTAGCTTGCAATTCAAGATTTCATGATTGTTTTTACTGTATAATAGAGTTTGACTCGTACCCATCTTGACATCCTGCACCATGAGTTTCTGTTCTATCTCCTCTCTGGACTTCTCACTCTTCTCCAGTTTCTGCATTATGCTGCCGATGTCGACCATGGCTCCGTTATAGACGATCAGATTACCGGACTCGCTGGCCTCTGACTGAGCACGAGCTTTTAGAGTAGGAAGTACTCCTCGGTTACCTGACAGAAAGAGAGAGAGAGAAGAATTTGAATAATACTCTTTTGCTACTTTTATGATCCACACAATGTCATGATAGAGTTAAAATAGAAACAAAAACCTGATGTTACCTATAAGGTTTTCTATCTGAGCTTCATTAAAGGAGGGAATGGGTTCATCCTTTCCCCTGTCCGTCAATTTACGGTAGTAGCAAGACTCTCTAACCACCGGTTTGTTCAACAGCTTCTTTATCTGGAAACAAATGCAAGTCGACAAGTCAGTTTTTCTGAGCTGTAAGCAGATGTGCATGTGTGTATGTGCACGTGTGTGTGTGTGTGTCTTCACCTGAGCACGAGAAAGGTGTAGTCCCAGTGTGTACAGGATCTCCTCCAGGTCTCTCTCCAGCAAATAGCCACAGTGGCTCTGGTCAAAGTAGACGAACGCCATCAGCAGCTCCTTGTTGTATGTGACCATCTGCTTCTTCTCCTGGTGTCACAACAGCAACAATCATGTCAACACCTTCACAGCAGTTCAAAAACAAGCCTTCACAGCCAACCAACTCACCTTGTCTTTGGAGGACCTCTCTTTTGATGACTTGCGGTCATCCTTAGGATCTTTCCTGTCTCTGTCATTTGAGTCATCGTCGTCCTTGTCTAAGAAAAAGGTTTAGCACATCAGTCAATTATCTGTCAGTGGATTTAAACTGTTGACTCACGACTTTATTAAACAATGTGACAAAAGAAAGATTGAACAGAAAACAGATAGCGATGTTTTCCCAACTGAAGGTCTCAGAAACTGTGTGATCCATCACAGGTTCAGCGTGGTGCATGATTTCTCATCACTGACCAAATCTTATTGTGGGAAATCAAAGTCATAAACAAGAGAGAGCAGTACCATCATCGTCATCATCTGCATCTTCAGCCTCCATGGGGTCGTATTCTTCAGCATTGGCTGTGCTGCCATCGTCTTCGTTCTCCTCTTCATCACGAGACTCCTCCTTTTTCACAGTCTTTTCATCGATCTGATTAAAAAGACAAATGCATGAAAACACACATTCGTTGAGCAAATGACAAACTGAAACCAGCAGACAGGTGTGAATGGCTGACCTTCCTCCTGTCCTCCTCGTCCTCTTTGATTTTTTTCGTGGCTGGTTCTTCATTCTCTTCTTCTTTTTCCTTCTTGACTTCCTTTTTCTCCGTCTCCTTCTTTTCTGCCTCTTTTTTGGCTTTCTTGTCCTTTTCCTTCTTCTCGTCTTTGGCAGGAATAGCAGCGAGGGCTTTATATATGCGGTACCCAAAGTCTCTTTGTAGCATCTCGTTAAACAGCTCAGCAAAAAGGGAGACCTGGAGAGAAAAAAAAGGAAGATGTATTACCAACTTGCATTAGCAAAATTGTTAAATTGTTAATGGTTTATGACAATCAAAACTGATGCTATTGGCCAATCAAACCGATAATAAAGCACATGTACAGATATTTCAAATATGTGTTAAATAACAGCAAGTCTCACCTCAAAAGAGTGCTCCTTGTTGTCTTCCAGTCTGTAGTCCAGTAGCACACTCAGGGACATGACACTGCAGTCAAATTTGCCGTTCTTGGCTGCCCAGTTGGGGTGTACGAGGATGGTGGGTTCATCAGGGAGGATGTAGCGCCTTTCTCTCCGCTGGCGTTCAATCTCCTCCAGCCTCTTCCTTTCCTCCTCCTAACAGAGAAGAACACATTAGTTAGAGGAGCTCTTCAGATAGAATGTACAATAGATCTAGTTTCTCAAAGGTTTTACAAAACAAAATTACAAAATGTATTTCTTGTCCCTGAATAATTTTCATAGATGTTTTGTAAAATATTAAGTAGAAATCCACCTTAGCGCTGCCACGACAACAAACATTTCTATTCCAATACATTCTTTCATAATCTCAACTCTTTTCCACAGAATGAATTATCAAAACAAATTGATTTCTCTGTACTTCTCTGTCTTCCTCTGTGCGAGGTGGCTCCTCTTCCTCTGCCACTTTGCTCTCTGGTTTCTCTGGCTCTTTGGACTCCTCCACCTGCTCCTCCACCTTTAGCTGCTTTGTGAGGCGAGCGATTAGCTGCGACTTTAACCCCTTAGAGCTTAGGGAGCGACAATCCAGCTCTTTTCGCAGGTCATTTACCTAAAGGGAGAGAAATCAGAGAAAACTTTGTGCTATGACGGTAACCCAACTATCTGCTCTGAACTGATGTGAGCTCATCTCTTCACACAAAGATGTTAAAGGATTATTCCTTGTCTGCTCTCCACACAGATAGTTCAGCGTCACATCAAACTATCAGTGTGAAGATGTTCTCTTTGAACCTCACCTTCATTGATTTCGGGTCAAGTTTAGTCCAGTGAGTAGGAATACAAACGTCCTTCGATTCACCGTCATCCTTCTCCTCTTCCTCCTTGACGGGAAAATCATTAGGATAGAGACAGGCAGAGAGACAGAAAGAGGTGGAAAGCAAACTGTCAGCAACACGTTTGTGGCCTCTGTGAGCTTTAAAGTTGATCCGTGCAAGAAGCAAGGTCACATCTGTCTTTCATTGTCTCGTCCTAGTGAGCTTTCGACTGTGCTTAAGTCCACTGCTACTGAAGCGTACACAGGTTTCTAGCTCTTATGAAAACCAACAGAAATGCCCCCCAGCTGCCAATCAATCAATCTGTGGAACACAAAAAAGGTAAAAATCAATGAGAGGTGTGTCGAAAAGGAGTGTAGGTAGATCAGGTGAAACTGAAGCTGGGCTCCAAAAGGAGTGAGGATAGGGTGGCCCTATCATGGTCTATGACTGGGGTATTGGGTATTGCCATTTATGGGATTTATACACCTACGTCAGATAGGAGCCCTCTGTCCAACCAACTGCCCTGGAAAAACCAAATTCTACATATAGCCAAAATGAGAGTGTAGAATCCAACAACAAGAACAGACAAGAAACAGGACTTCTCTTTTCTGAAGTCAAACAAGTGAAAAATCATAAGAAAATACACATTACACGCAACTGACTCTACAGATTCCAGTTTTAAGAAACGAATAACAGATTCAAGGGCTGGAAAAGCACCAGAGGTTGAAATCTCAGAAACTATTTGAGATCATTGCTAAACCAATTTGCAAACACCCAAAACAAAAGCAGGTTAATTAAGTTTGCTTCAAAGTTCTGCTCAACAAAATGCCAGAATTAAAATGATTACATCCAGATTAGAAACGAATTATAAGGTGAGGAGCTGGAAACTGTTTTATCAGTTGCGATCAAGGCCTACACAACACAACCTAGTCTCACTGCTTCCACTGTGTGTGTCTGCTGGATGTGAGGGAACGAGGGAGTGTTGATGGAGGAATGGAGGAGTTGGAGCTGAGGAGAAGGGGAAGGGTGGAGGAGTAAACAGAAGAAGCCTAGGTGAGGTTTGGCGAAACAATATTCTGCCTGTGTTGGTGTCTGTGTGCATGAATGGTGACGTGTACGTTGTGTCTGGTGTGTAACTGGGGCTTATTTTTTGTAATTCCTGTGCCTTCCTGTGAGAAGCGGAAATGAGAAGAGAGGGATTAGCGGTTCAGTGCCTGTTCTCCATCCGCCTCCTTTCGCTCGGCCGACAGCTTCTCAGCCAGCTGCTCCCGGAGTCGCCGTGACAGCACCTCCCACTCTGAGCGGGTAGGAAGACAATGCCAAACATCCGGAAGAAACAAAACCACTGTCTCCACATGAGCAGGGACTGTCCGCCCCTTGTGTGTCTCCTCCGGCCGATGATAGCGAATCTCTGCAAAACGATACCTGTCGCAAAGGAAGAGGGTGCATTGGAAAGAAACATTCTGGTCAGGGCACAGTATAAAAGACAGGCCTTGCTAAGACGAGCCTTGTACAGCTACTCCCCCCATGAGGTCACTGAATGATCGTTCACATCATTACAGTGACCCATCTCCCATAAAAGACACAGCTTAGACAAATGGACCCAGTCTGCAGCTCTCCAACTGTTGTCACAGGTTACGCCAGTCATTTTGAGAAAGTTGACAGACAATCACACAAAATAAAAAATAAAAAAATCACACCCCCGAAATTCATCCCCATCATAACTTCAGCCAATTATGGATGTGTGCTCTGCTCTTAACCTCGGATACACTTAAAGCACTACATTAGGGGGGTGCGAAGAGAAGACAGGATAAAGTGAAAGCCAGTTAAATATGTAAGATATTTAACAGAGAGAACAGAAAGAACAAATAAATAGAAAGTAATGACAGCGTCTTCTGGTCCAGGCTACTGCTTCCAGCCACAAAGTCCATGCTTTTGGTTTTTCATCACAATGAAATATGCGCAGGTATGTACAGAGAGTGTGACAGAAAGAGAGAGCCAAGACGACAACACACAAAAAGGCCAAAATAACATTATAATAACAACACAATAAATAATAATAGTAAATAATGGGTAGCAAATTAACAACACAATAATCATTGGAAACAAAAACATATCACCCAACATGTCCAGGATGAGATTTAGTGTAGGGGCAGCAAGATTAAAAGCTCATTAAAGATGCTTAATCTGGGTTTTTAGTAACAAGGCAGTTTAAAGAGAAACAAAAACAATGAGAGAAATAGATACTGATGAGACGTAGGCTCTTACCACTGAGTGCACAGACTAAGGTCTATGCCTGTGAGCGCCTTGCAACAGCGTATGGCTGTCTTTATGAGGACTGAAGGATCCTTCTCTGGGTCAGCTCCGTCCAGAGAGGGAGACCAGTGACCACCGATGGCCATGGCCTCGTCTTTACCTCTCATTCCCACCAAAAACTGAAGGAAGAAAGACAGATGGGTGGGTACACAGGAGAATCACAGAGCATAGGTCAGTTGGAAATGGGAAATGTGGATAAAGGAGTGTAGAGGGTGGGAAGAGCGAGAGAGAAAGCGGAAAGAGACAGAAGCAAAGAGGTCAGCAGCATGTTAGAATAATCACACCTCTGAGGAGCCACAACCACAAGATATAAAGACACTGGGGTTATTTACACATGACAGCCAACATCAGTTAGTTCTCTTCCGCATTGTGGGGACTCAGCAATGGAATAGGATCATCACATCATTGTCAGCTCATGCGTGTGTTACAAGCAGGGAACAGATGAGACGTACCTTAATGAGTCTGGCAGGGTGTTGGAAGGTGTCTCTCACTTCCTGGGTGTCCTCTGCCAGAGCGCAGGACTTGTGGTAGAGCTCCTCGATACTGGGGTTAGCCAGCAGCATCACCTGGACCATAAAGACACCTCATTAACTGATGACACAAAGAAAACTAGAGACAGATTTATCTGATGGTTACAACACTCACAGTCATACCTTAGCACTATAGGTGTGGTTGGCATCGGGAGGATCAAGCACAGCTGTGTTCTTGACTAGAGGATCCACCTCTTTGTGCAAGATGTGGAAATTACAGGCGTTACTAAACTGGAAGGGTCGGGTCACAGGGAAGGCGTCCACCCAGGTGAAGACAGCGTCAAAGAAGTCGCTGGGAATGTAGAGGCTCTGATAGCGCCTCCTCAGCTCCATTATGTCACAGCTGGAGCTGGAGATCACAGAGAAGACAGTTTCTACATCAACATGCTGCCGTGTGTTACAACAGAGTCCTGACATGTGACAACTATAATCAGTTTACAGCTTCACAGCATGAAAAAAAAAAAAAACCTCTACTCACCCATCCAAGCTGAACTTGGAAAACTGGACAGTATAGCGAGGCACGACCCTGCGAGGCCGTCTTGGTGAGCGGTCACGTCTCGGGGAGCGGTCTCTGGAGCGTTTACGTGTGGGCGAGCGTTCTCTCGATCGCCTGCGTTCTCGGTCTCTGTCTCGGCTAATGAATTAAGTAAAAACAATGAAATGTATTATAACCACAAGCAAGAATAGATTTATAGGAAAGCAACAAATGCAGCAGCTAAAGGCAACTTTTAGTGGCAATTATCTGAAAATCTTGTCTATCATTATCCCACCTGCGTTCTTCTTTCGTCCTGAGGATGAGCTCAGGGCCTCGATCATTGCGGCTGGGGAAACGAGGGGGAGGTTCAATTCGTCGTACAGGCTGTGGCTGTTGTATCATCCTAACTGGGGGTTGAAGAAGACCCCCAGGGAAAACATCTAGAGACAAAAATGGCAAAGGACCTGCTTGTTTAAAATCACGTCTATGCCACAAACACAGCTTTGATTCTGTCGGCCATGTTGCACCAAAACTGTTTGATCGTCATTTTTCTAACTCCTTTACAGCCAATACCAGTTAAATTACGTATATTGTACCTTTGGGTGGCAGCTGTGGCAGCAGAGGCTGAGGAGGGTTTTGGAGGAGAGGGGCCAAAGAGGCAGCAGACAGCTGGGCCTGCAGGAGGGGAGGGGGAGCCTGGGCCTGAACACTGAATGTTGTTGGGGGAGGTAGAGACTGAAGCATGGTGGGGGCTGCTTTCATCATTTGAGGAACTTGAGGCTGGCTCTAGAAAAAAGAAGCATAAGAAAATTTTAAAAAAAACGACACTTGAGACCTGAAACATTTTTCTGTTAACATGCCAAGAGATAAGATGCACAACAGATGAGATGGTGATTTTTACAAAATCTTGCTCAGTGACTGCTTGGAAGCAAGAAAGACTGGGAGAAGGTCTGAACATCTGCTTGAATGAAGCAACTGTCAAAGGATTCTGAAGTATGTAAGTTGTTTTCAAAACAAAATAAATATAGTCAGGACAAAGAGGCTGTTATCTACCACAAAAAACAAAAATGAAAAGTTATATATATATGTAAAAACCTTCAAAAATGTATAATGAAGTAATGGTATAAAGATACTCTCTGCATAAGATGTCTGTATTTTAAGAAAGACAGACAGGCAGCAAGAAAAAAACTAAGTAAGGAGAAAGACGAGAAGAGCTAGTGATTCAGGGGATGGTAGTTACATTTTGTCTGTTGTCCACAGTAGAGTGCATGTCTGAGTAGCGCAGCTGCATCCCTGGCTCATTGTAAAGGCTGCTGAGCTGTGGGGAGGCTTGAGGTAAAGGCTGATGCTGATGCTGATGCTAGAAAGGAAATTTAGAAAACAACAGTCAATAAAAGACAAAGAGGTACAAGAAGAAAAGAGTACAAGAGTTCAACTTTGACAAAAAGAAAAATAAACACTCTCAGACTATGACATATTAATTGTCCAAGGTTTAAAATGAATCTGTGAATATTCAAAATTCAAATAGATATGTTGACATTCAACACACAGCCTCTGTCAAAGACGAGTCAACAACTGTTTCAGTGTTTACACAGATATATACTGGAACAACAAAAGAAGACAAGAATGTGGTTTTTGTAGTCACTTCGCTGACTGCAGTCACAATAACACAAAAAACACTCAGCAATTTTTTGAGCAGAAGTTCCCTATTTCTATTATTGTGTTCAGTTATTCGTGAGCACATTAATCCAAGAGAGTTCTCACCGACTGGTTTGCTAGCTGAGGTAAGGTCTGGATTCGCTGGGCGTTCCACTTGAACGGCATGTTCGGGTTGTACACAGCTTCCACTAGGACCCTGTCACCCACCTGGGGGGTCTTCCCCTTCACAGCACTGAAACATCCATATATTGATCATAAATACATCTCTGTCTATCTCAACATGTCAGATTACATCAGTTTCAAATGTACATGTTTAAAGAAGTGCAGTCTGGTAGATGCTACATTATTTCACCTTAGCTGGAAGAAGACATCTTCATCCACAAAACCAAATGTGTCATGTAGCTTGTTGACAACACCAGTGAAGACTCGCTGCTTCTGTGGTTGTGTCTGCTGTTGGTGGCTTGAACGTGGTGTTGGGTAAGACACAGTAATCTGGGCTGTCTGCTGGGGGTTGGACAGACTCAAACTGGTGGACAGGGCGACGGGGGGCTGAAGGTGAGAAATAAAGAGAAAGATTAAAAAAAGCTGCTACCTCGTGAGGTAGTAATGAATTAGAGAGAAATGATAATATTGAGATCTTTGTGTCATGCAATTAATTTAACCCCAACTGCAAATCAGGATTAGTACACTTGAGACAAACGAGATAGAATATGTGGCAGATGTATGTGTTTTTGCACATTACCTGAGAAAGCAGTGCCTGTTGAGGCTGTGGAAGCTGTGAAAAAAAAAAAAAACAGATGGGTCAAGATTTTCTTCATGCGATACAAGAGCTTTGCTCACAGTAAAACACCAAATCATTTTTTCTCAAACCAATTATCTACAGCCTATTCTGTGTTCCCCACAGTGTTTTGCTGGAGGAAACAAGATATTTGTAATGCGACATGTAAAACGCTTTCATATAAGAGGTTGTATCAAATTACACTTTCATTCACTTGATCTGCCTCAGAGGAAACCTTTTCAGTTGTCAAAATACATTTAGCACCAAAGGATGCAGAAAAATCAATAATAATGATTTCAGGAGTAAATTTAATCTCAGTGCAGTTTTTGGGAATTTTAAATTTAGTGCTGTACAAGGTAACCTATGCTTCTTTTCCCAACAACACTTAAGTCTTGTATTTTGCTGAGGCATTAAACTTATACAAAGCCACAATAGAAGTTAAAATATTAAGCACAATGCTAATTTCTTTGATTTAGGGATACATTACATTTGCATGTGTATGAGAACATCTAAAGCAAAGTATGACCAGCATAATGAGCCTGTTTTACCTGATGAGGTACACTGTACAGTTGCTGTTGGGGGGGCTGTTGGGGAGGTTGCTGCTGTTGCTGTTGTTGTTGTTGCTGTTGTTGTTGCTGCTGCTGTTGTTGTTGCTGCTGCTGCTGTTGCTGATACTGCTGGAGCGCTGAATTAATCTGCGACTAGACATTAAAAAGTACATGAGAGAGGTTGTTGTTGATCAAACAGTGAGACGTGACCATTTCAGATCGCTGACTGTGCTTTGGACTATAATGCTGTGACTGACCTGCTGTAGTGCTGCTGCTGCAGCAGCTGCTGCTGCTTGCTGTTGCAAGGCAGCAGTTTGCTGAGACAGCTGATAGTTTGCAGCAGACTGGTTGCTGAGAGAAGCGGCAGCCAAGGCGGACTGCTGAGAGTAAACGGAGGGAGATGCTCCCAGAATAGACGACTGCTGCACACCCAGAGCTGCAGAGATGAAAAATGAGGCACAACATTCAGAGAAATGTGGGAAAACAACAGGCGAGATGATGTGATAACATGTGTAAGACACAGTGGGACAAGAGAGACATTTTCATTAGAGTAATTAGTGCTTGGTGAAATATGAAATGAAATAGCTTTGATCCTGTGGTTTGCAATACTTACAGTGCAGGCTGTTGAGGTCTAGAGACTGTGAGTGACCCGGCTGGGACACCGCTGGGGGAGCAAATTGAGTCGCCCAGGGCGGATTCTTCTGTCCCCCAAATTGGGCCATGACTCATTCAAGTTAAGGGCAGGCTCTGCTCACCAGACCGATGCTTGTCACTAAACACAAAACAAAACTTAATTAGGTCAAGCAGAACTAAGACCAGGGGATATCAGGGGTCAGAGCATTTAGATCGTTTTGTGCACCTAACTTAACATAATGCAAAACATAGTTTTACACAAAATATATTTGGGGCAACATCCTGCATGAATCCCATGCAGGATGGGATATTCTGATTGCACAAACCCTGTCACAGTATGGATGCATTGAGTTGTGCAGAAAGACAGTGAAAAAAGTAACAAAACCAAATCCACTTCAACAACAAAACACACGATTGGCAGAAAACGTAAATTTGTATGAACATGTTGCACAAGCCACAGTAGCCTTTATCTTTAAGCTAGCTCCTCCTGTTATCTCTCAGTAACTGGACGCCATCAGACTGATTTGAGGAGCTGTAACTGTTTTCCATTTGTGGGAACAAGACAGCAGGTGGAAGAACAAACTCCTCATCGGTAGACATTACTGCTCAGGACATGTTACCCTTCATATCTGCACTGCTCCGTGGATTAGAGTCCGATAACTGCTGACACAGCACAGAGGCTAATGTTAGCCCCTGCAGCTGACAGAGGGCTAGCGCTGGCTAATGCTAATATTGTTGTTGTTGTTAACAGCAGCTGACAAACATTTTTTTTTAAAAAAGTTAAGTAACTGAGGATTCGTCCACACGGTTAAACGCACCTTGTTGAGAAACTACAACAGTATTAAAACACAACATGGCTGCTGTGGCACAGGTGCTGTACACACAGCTAAGCTAACACTTAGCATTCGCACCTCGTTAGCCTTGTTGCCAGATTAGCCTCGTGCTGGGTTTGTTATCGAGAGCGAGGCCTGGGACGCTGTTTACCGGCGCCTCCGAGAGTTTTCACAGAAACAACACACACGATCACTGCCGGCTGCAACTCTCCTGCATGGAAACAACGGCTGCGCTTCAAATACACGTGAACTGTTCAGGATATCGAACGCAGACGTTATCATCGCTGCTTACCGCTGTCCCCCACACCGGCCGACGTACACACAGTCTGCGCACGCGCGGGCTGCAGCGGCAGAAGATCCGGGAGAGATCAACAAACACAGTTTATATGTGAAATAAAAAGAAAAACCACTGGATCCCGGGTCACATTTCACCATTTCACTTTATATAATAGATTCATATATAAACTCTCTCTGCTTTTTATTTAACACTGACTTCTCATCAATAGTTTGATGTCCAGAAACTATAGTGAAGATGGAGTGGATCTTTTAACTGTGCCATATTCTTTTCTGTCTTTGCAATCAGTTTCACCGTATATGTCCTGTTTACGCTGTAAATAGTATTTCTATATCGTCTCTATTTATTGTATATACATATCTTTATATATAGATAGATAGATATATGTTATACCTCCTTGCAATTAAAATTATTGCATGTTTACTTATCACTTTACTGATATCTATTTTTGACTGTCCTCTTTGCTGCTGTAACATGACAGTCCACTGTGGCACTAATGAAGGATTATTTCATTTTATCGTATCTCATTTTATCTCATTTATCAAGAGGATACATATTATTTCAGATATGTACAGGAGAACTAAAATATTTATACTGATTGCTGTACCATATAATACTATGGATAACACTGTGACATTGGTAGAAAAAACATATTATTGCATTGTCAACGAGGCCAGCAGCACTTGATAAGCATTTACTAAACATCTGATGGTTTATGATACAGTTTGTTTGTTGAATTGTTCTCCTATCAGTTAAAATATTATGTGTTATGATTATTTTTACTATGGATCGGTATTGTTGCAGGACTTGTTGGTGTACTATATATGAACAGCAGGAGGCAGCAGTGTCAAGTGACTTTATCTGTTTAATAAGCATAATAATTATTCTCACCTGTGGCTTTATTATATTACAATATTTATTTCATCACTCAAAGTCTGTATTCATACAGAGTTTAAGCTATATATACACACTATGTGTATAATTATTTTTATACTTGCAGATACTCACTTCTCAGTTTATTAGGTGCACTAAGCAAAATAAAAAACTTGCAATAAGTTTGGCACTCAAATGTTACAGATAGTATATAAAGTTATAATGATCAACATTTTATTTGTATGAAAAGTGCAATATAAATAAAGTCTGACTGACTGATTAGGTTTTAGTGGATGCCTAAGTTTAATCCTCCTGAATATTGCTTTAACAACTGTATATAAATACACTGAGAACTGCTAGCAGCCAGTCATATATCTTCCATACATAAACATAGGTATAAATAAAGATGATTCTGATTCTTCCTGTAACAACTAAATGAGTAATAATTCCTCGTTTTTCTTCCCACACAGAACACAACGACACAAGTCATACATGCATTAAAATAACAGTATAATTTAAAAAGGAGATCAGCAACAAAGATGAGTTTTCAAACTGTGAACTTTGTTTAATGTGATACAGTAAATCCTATGTGAGCAGCGTAAAGCACATAAATAGCATACAGGTATTTTAGGATGAGAAACTTACTTCTCTGTGATTATTAACCGTGGCATTTTATTTCATTTGTGGATGATGCATTAACAAGAAACAACATTTGTTCAGTTTCAATAGCAGACACCTTATCCAAACTTCATTGTGCTTGACCATTACACATCGTCAAGAGCTCGCCAACCTATGAAAATATTACAGTTTTGCAAAATATACATTATTTATAAGAAATAAATACAACCGCA